GGACGCTCGCACGGAATGCAAGAGATCCGGGTTCGATTCCCGGCCGAGGCAATATTTTTCGCAATAAGTTTATTACAATTTTTGAATATTACAACGTTTGAATATTTGAGTTCCATTTCCAATCAGATCTTAAATTTGAAAAACTTTTAGAGGTGGCTTAAATCTATTATCGCTGTGTTGATGATATCATTCTTGCAGCTCCAAAAGATCAAATTGACACAATTCTTTGCTCATTCAATTCACACACACATACCATAAAAGAAATACCATGAATTAACTTCACTGTTGAATATAGCGATGATAGAGAAATAAATTTTCTGGATGTTAAAAATATTAATAGAGGAGGAAAGAATTATTTTTGACAATTACAAAAAGTATACTAATTCAGATACTTGAATTTCAATTCAAATCATCCTATAGAACACAAAAAAAGCGTTATCATCAGACAATTTGACAGAATTCTATTCCTTTCTCATCCTAAATTTCATGAGAAAAATATAATTTCTTTAATTAATACACTTCAAAGTAATAGATACCCCTTGGAATTCCTTTTTTCAATAATTAATAACAGGATAAAATCTTTATCTTTCAAAAATAATTTTCATAATATCAAAGAACATAAGGATGTGGTCAACTCGGATTTTACAGATATACAAAAAAATATTTCATTATTCCTTATTTGAATAAAATATCAGAAAAATTCAAAACTATTACACACAAATTTAATTTCAAAATTGCTCACAAATCTATGAATTGTTTGAATACTTTTATTAAAACAGGCAAGGATAAAATTAAAAAGGAAGATTATTTAAATGTTGTTTATAAAATAAATTGTCTCAATTGCAACTCCTCATACGTAGAGCAGACAAAAAAAATTAAAAACTTGTTTAAAAGAACATAAAAATGATATTTAAAAAATCAAGTAACGCTATGTCTGCTATCTCTCATCATAAATTAAATCACGATCATAGGGTTGATTGAGAGCACACAATAATTTAGATTTCGAACAATAATATTACAAGAGCATGGTACATAATATCTCCGAGATGATACATATTAAAAGACAAAAAATGAGTTTGAACAAGCAAAGCGACACAGAACGCTTTCCTGACATCTACCAATAATTGAAAAAAGCCCTTCTCCTCACTAATAAATTACTCCACACTAATTTCCCTCTCTTCTCCTTACATAAATTTATAAAGACTGTTGTAAAGCATGTGTCACCACATTTTGTCAGAATAGTTCTTGCTATCAGAAAGTTTTAATAACTCTGTGTAAATTTTTACAATTACAAAAATCTCCGAATTATACTTACGAAGGATTTCGTCAAAAGATACGTGGTAAGCGAATTCTATTATACAATAATATCTATATTAATTCTTACCATTAACAATATATCAAAATAGTATTATATAATTTTAAAAAATTATTACATTTTTTTTTTAATCTGACCAGTATTTGGAAATTCCGTATTTTCCATACGAAGCCTTACAAATGTTCAAGTAATAAGGAATCTACATCGTAATAAAGCGAATATATTTTTTGTGTTCTACTTTTTGTGATGATTTGAATTGAAATTCAAGTACCTACCAGAATTAGTAAACTTTTTGTAATTGTCAAAAATAATTCTTCCCTCCTTCTAAAAGTGAATGTAAATTTGTATCTTTCAATTCTGGATTAGCAAATAATTTTAACATTCTTTTTAATGTCTGTAACACCATTTATATTTTTTATTGTACTGATGATGGTCAAGACATGATCGACCCCTCTATTTATCATGTAAAATAATTTTTTAAAATATATGATTTTCGCTAAATACATTTTGCGTTGTGGCTGTATGCTTCTTATTATTTATACAATATATAATTAAAAGAAATATTATCACATATTATTATAATATTACATATTAGTATACAATATATTATATTGTAGATCAATATGTAATATCAGAATGAAAATAGGAATTAAGTGAAGTGTTTTGAATTTAATAATTACAGGCTAAATTCTTTTACATCAAATTAATTTATTTTTATAATTTTTTTAAAATTACTATTTTACTAGCCTCCAAAACTTACTGACTAATTTACTGTAATGTATCGAATAAATTACTGTAAAATTTCATTTTTATCTCTAAGCCTAACATACCAAGTCATCAGTGCTTGACTTCTATTATTAAGTTTGGTTAACAATATTAATTAAGATTACACAGAAAAATGATATATGCAAAAATATTTTTAAGAATCCAAATTACTTTTTCATTGTTCTTCTATGCAATCTGAAATAATATGAAAAACAAAAAACTAATAACACTTTTCAAAAACTTATGATATCTTAATATTTCTTTTTTCAGAATTAATTACTATAATATGAAAATAATCTTTTTTTTTTCAACTTATTAATAAGATTATTTATTTATGATTATTTATTAAAATGTATAAATATTTATTAAAATTACAAAATTTTCTGCAAATGCTTTCATATAAATTTCATTTGAATTTATTGTAAATTTAATACACTTATATTGTTAGATGTATTATCAAAATAATATTCAATTTATATGTACTTATGTGTGTGTATCGGTGGATAGGTTGATAAGTGTGTGTGCGTGCGTGCGTGCGTGCGTGCGTGCGTGCGCGTGCGCGTGCACGTGCGCGCGCATATGTGTGTGTGTGTGTGTGTGTTTTATTAAAAATATTAAAAAATCCTGAGAGAGGTAAAATTTATCTCGATCTTCTTATTTCCCTTTCGCCAATTTTCATCGCCTTGAAGAAAGCTCTTTTCTTCATCTTTAAACACTAATAAATTAGTAAATTAACACTACATTATTAGAAATGATTCGAAATCGCAGAAAGCTGTTATGCAAAAACCCGTTCAAAGTTGCCTTAATTAACGATCTTTAATAAAACTTGCGAGATGATTGAGGGGAGAATTAGCTGACGATGCTGCACCCTCTATCCCCGTACAATATCAAACTTCCGTTCCCATTAAAATAAGCGAAGTTCCAGGGAGAAATAATAAGTTGGATCGACATCGAATCGATATCTTTTCGATGGTCAAAATAAGATCAAATTTGACGTGTACATAGACGTTAAAATCTTTGAATTTTGATGCCATTTGGATGTCAATATCGATGTCTATAAAACATTTAATAGACGTCGATATTAACATTTTCATCAATCGATGCATTCGGTATTATAATAACTCGCAACGAGAAATGACCTATTGAATCGACATCGAAATCAATTTGACGATTTCGACATCGATTTCATTATTAATTCTCAGAAATCGTTTATGGGCTGAAAGGATGGAAAAAATCATGCTAGAAATTAAAATATTTTATTAAAAATTTATTCAAAACGGTTTAGAAAACTTCTCTTTTAAATGGTAAAAATAAATAAAATCTTAGTCTATAAATACTGTAAATACATAGTCTAACAAATAATCAAATTTAACTTGTATGATATAAGTACGTTGCTGTAGTGCATTAAAATAAAATACAAACTACCAATAAAATATAATATTTCGCAAATTGTGCACATAAAAGGAGATCATAAAAAAATGAAATTTCACATTTAATTTATTGCTTACGCCAAGCAGCATTTCTGACTTTAAAAAATATATATATGGGGCATTCCACATCAAATCGAACGGACTTCGTTACCGATCCCTGCTTTTTATTGATTTTTTAATGTATTCCTCGGATTAAAATAC